TTTGAACGTCCACCTTACCTCTACAGCTACGAATGCATCTGTATGCCAACTGCACCCCATATTATTATTAAGTTCTTAAGTGTGTCTATTTTTCAAGAGTAGACATTCAAAAATTCAATTCGTTTAGATTTGTAGATAAAAATAATAAAAAATACGGCCATGTATGGTTTTAGTGTATACTATTCCATCAATCTTTCGGACCCACAAAAAAATCATTATCGCATATAATATTTATGAAAAATGATCCTATTAAACTCTTTTCCACCTATGTATGTAGGATCTCAAAGAGTCGCCATTGAATTTGACAGACATCATTAGAAAAGTCAAATCCCACATCCATAAGCTTAGTTTTTTAGATATCCTATCTTAAATTTAATTTCGAGTACTTCACAATGAGTGTGGAGAGGTCCCATGGGATCAGTCCTCAACATTTATTTATTTATTATTATATTGACACGAACGTTCCCTTAAAAAGTTCCTCTTCGGCAAGCACGCGTATTAGAAAAAGGCAATAAAACACCTACCGAAATTGAATGAGAAAAGTAATGAAGGCGGCGTTTTTTAATATTGACTCGTATTGCTTATTTATAGTTTTGGGTTTATCAAGAAATCGTAAGAAAATTAATGGTGAAGTTCTGAGGGAGCAATGGCCAGCACTTCAGGTTTGATCTTTTAAGCCATTTTATTCAAGTTTCATCAGAGTTTCTTCCTTGAAGAATGCATGTATTATTTGTTCATTTTCAAGCATTTTTTTCAATCTCAAGACTCCAGATTTTGAAGGGGAAAAGCTATCTGATATTTAAGTTCAAGCTCTTCAGTTTTTAGGAATTTAATCTCTGAATGGATGGAAAGGTTCAAACTTGAGGGACCCGAGTGACTAAATAGTTTCAAGGGAAGTTCTTCAAATCCTTTGAAGAGTTTGCAGATAAGGTTCGTGAAAAAAAACAGAGGTTTTGTAGTGAAGAGAACCCCAATAATGGGTTACACTCTTCTTTACCTGGTTTTAGTTCCTTATCAGCTGGTATTCAGTTTAAGCTCTGATGGGCGTGCATTGCTTTCTCTCTCTGCGGATTTGAAGCTTCCTTCTTATACAAAATCCACTTGGAATTCCTCTGATTCCACCCCATGTAATTGGGAAGGCATTCTTTGTAACAGGAGACACAGGGTAAAAGAACTCAATTTGAGCACACTTGAGATTTCAGGCACTTTAGGCCAAGATATAGGTCTCTTATCAGAGCTTACAAAGATTGATCTTGGAGTGAACTCTCTATATGGGGAGATCCCCACAAGCATTGGTAATTGTTCTAATTTGGAATACTTGGACATGTCCATGAATTTGCTCAATGGAAGCATACCAACAAGTATTGGAAGCTTAAAGCGCCTAAAATACCTTTCCCTTTTTGAGAATTTTCTTGATGGGGAAATACCAGAAAGCTTGTTTCAGCTTCCTCTTTTGGAAACCCTTTTCTTGAATGAGAACAATTGCACTGGTTCGATTTCAGAAAGTATTGGTAATATGACCAGGCTCCAAAGCTTATGGTTAAGTGATAACAATTTATCTGGGGTTATACCGAGCTCTATTGGAAACTGTAGCAGCTTGTATGAGCTTTATTTGTTCAATAATAAGTTGGAGGGCTTCCTGCCTGAGAGTATAAATGAAATTGGAACTCTTGCGTATCTTGATGTTAGTGATAACCATTTACAGGGGAGGATTTTATTGGGTATGGGTAATTGCACAAGCCTCGTTCAGTTGACTATCTCTTTCAACCTTTTCAGTGGTGGGTTGCCTCAACAATTGGGAAATTGCAGCAATTTAGAGCTTTTTTCAGCTGTTCAAAATGGTTTAACAGGTGACATACCGTCTTCCTTTGGTTTACTCAAAAAGCTAGCAACTCTATTCCTCTCTGATAATCGTTTATCAGGGCAAATGCCTCCTGAGCTTGGGAACTGCAAGTCCTTGACAAAATTGCATTTGAATGAGAACCAGCTCCATGGTGGTATTCCTCCTGAATTAGGCAAGCTGAAAACCTTGCAAAGCCTCTGGCTTTTCACTAATAATCTGTCGGGTCCATTACCTGTACAAGTTCTTAGAATTCCAACCCTTGAAAGTCTACTTGTATACAATAACAAGCTCTCAGGAAATTTACCAGCACAGATTGCCAATCTGAGACAGTTGAAAAACATCTCTTTGTTCAATAACCTGTTTTCTGGAGAAATACCACAGCGATTGGGGCTTAACAGTAGTTTAGTGCAAGTTGATTTGACAAACAATAGCTTCACTGGTGAAATACCTCCAGGCTTTTGTAATGGGAAACAACTGGAGGTTTTGAACTTGCCTTTTAATCTCCTCCATGGAAACATACCTTTGGATATAGGGAACTGTACAAGTTTGGGAAGAATGAGACTCGACCACAATAATCTAACCGGTACGCTTCCTAGTTTTGCCAATAATTCAAAGCTATCGTATCTGGATATCAGTAGAAATAGCATTTCAGGATCCATACCTTCGAGTATTGGGCATTGCACCAATCTCACTTCAATTGATTTGTCAATGAACAATCTGACAGGCACTGTCCCTCAAGAACTCAGACACCTTACAAGATTGCAGCATTTGAATCTATCTCACAATAGTTTACAAGGTCAAATACCTTCAGAAATCTCACTTTGTAAAGGTTTATATAGATTGGATTTGGGTTTTAATTCCTTGAATGGTTCGATCCCTACTAGCTTACCCAACCTGAAAGAGTTAGAATATCTTAGCCTCCAAAGTAATCAGATAGAAGGGGGGATTCCGAACTTCTGGTCTGGTTTTGATGCATTATTAGAACTCCAGCTTGGTGATAACTTGTTTGGAGGAAGTATCCCTCCATCATTAGGAAACTTGCAAAGCTTGACATATACTTTGAACCTTAGAAACAATGGCTTTACTGGTGAAGTCCCTCCAGAATTGGGGAAATTGAAAATGCTCCAAATCTTGGATTTATCACTCAATAATCTGAATGGAGATTTAACCCCACTAGGTGTGCTCCAGTCCCTTGTCCAAGTAAACGTTTCATATAACCACTTTACAGGGTCAGTACCGGATTCATGGCTCAGGTTACTGCAGGCCTCTCCCAGTTCATTTTCTGGTAATCCCGGCCTTTGTGTAAATTGTCGGCCAGATGATGTTACTTGTGTTAATGGAACCTACTTGAGCCCTTGCTCACTTGTTAAAACTAGAGGGAAAGTTCTTAGTAGGATTCAAATTGCATTGATAGCCCTTGGGTCATTCCTATTTTGCATTATAATAGTTCTTTTACTGGGATACTTACTCCTCAGGCCTAAAAACTCGGATTCCAGAGATGAGGAATTGGTTCACGAAGGGTCATCTTCTTTACTAAACAAAGTGATAGAAGCCACTGACAATTTTAAGGAGAATTATGTCATAGGAAGAGGTGCTCATGGCACTGTTTACAGAGTGGTTTTGGGTTCAGGGAAAATGTATGCAGTGAAGAAACTTCCTTTCACAGATAGAAGGGGAGCAAGCAGGAGCATGACCCGAGAAATTCAAACTGTGGGTAAGATCAGGCACAGAAACTTGATTAAATTGGAGGGTTTTTGGTTGAGAAAGGATTTTGGATTGATTCTCTATGAATTCATGCAAAACGGAAGCCTTCATGATGTTTTGCATGAGATAAGGCCTCAGATTTATTTGGAATGGCAAGAGAGGTATAAGATAGCTTTGGGCACTGCACAAGGGTTGGCTTATCTCCACTTTGACTGTAATCCGCATATTATACACCGGGATATCAAACCGAAAAATATTCTGTTAGACCCTGATATGGAGCCTCATATATCTGATTTTGGCATTGCCAAACTAATGGATCAGTCACCCACTACCGGGCATCCTTCCACCTCGGTCATAGGCACACTAGGGTACATGTCACCAGGTAATATATGAGACCTCTAGATTTTTAATTTGTTCTTGGAATCTCATTAGAGTTATAGGATTGCATGTAGTTGGGGTTTTTCTTCTTAAAAGTGCCTCAGTTTTGTAGGATATGAGGTAGTCTGTACGACATGATCTTTCTCTTTGTTCTTGTAGGTTTTACCATTATAGTGCAAACTATAATGTAGCCAATTATCTAAACCGATAATAGGCAACTATCCAAACCATATCAAGCTCATTAGAAAATCAGCAAGGTTTTTTTGAAGACAAGCATATAGCTTTTTGAAGCTAAGGATTTATTTGAATTTGTCTGAATTTGGTATTTTGAAGCATGAATAGATTAGTTAAAACTGTTCTTCAAGAGATTAGGGGCTCATGTCTATGCTTTTTGAGGGACTTACAAATTTCCTTTTACTATTTTAAAAGCACTCATCAATGCTCAGTGCCCTATTTTCCTGCATATTTAAACACCTTATTATCCCCTTGAGCTTTGTGAAACACAAAAATAAGATTATGTTTTTATCTGAACACATTGCAAGAGAAGCTAAAATTCAGTTATTTTCAAATATCTCGATGTCACCAAAAAGAAAAAAAAAAATCGATATCAATTAGTATAGAAATAAGAAAAGCTGACATGCTTTAGAAATTCTTACAAATCCAAACCCATTGATTCATTTATTTTTTTATTTGTTTTTTAATTTTAACTTGGGACTTGGAAAGGATGGAAGTCTAGACGTCACTGTGCACACCCACCACCCTGACCATCGCTACCTAGAGCCTGTTCTCAACCCATTGACTTCTCTTTTTTTTTGCTTTTTTTTATTGCTGAAAATGAATTTATAATAATTCGCATTCTCTGGTTTTACGGTTTTGTAGAATCTGCATTTACAACGAAGAGGACCGAGAAATCTGATGTGTACAGTTACGGGGTAGTTCTTTTGGAGCTGATAACTAGAAGACAGGCAGTTGATTCATCTTCTTCTCAGGAGTCCAATGGTATAGTGAGCTGGGTGAGGTCTACATTTGGCAAGAGTAATGATGTTATTGAGGTTGCTGATCCCGGTCTTGTGTCTGAATTTTTGGACTCCTCCGTGAAGGCAGAAGTAAGCAAAGTTGTCTCTATAGCATTGAGATGCACGGCTTCGGTTGTCAATGAAAGGCCAACCATGAGAGAAGTGGTGAAGCAATTAGAAGACATAAAGGCCAGGAGATCAAGCTCAGAGGAACACTAGACTATGAGAAGTCTCCCTCTTTCTATCTCTCTCTCTCTCTCTCTCTCTCTGGGCTTCCACCCGATAAATTTTTAACAATAAGGGCTCCTATCGTCTCATCAGAGATATCCAATAAAAATTGGAATGATACAGAGAAGATATCCATCAAAAATGGTTTTAAGTTCTGAAAATTTTGGGAGCTCGTGTAGATTCATGATAGATTGATAGCATCCACATGTAAGCCCATGTATGTAAAATATCAATTGAGCTCTGGATAAAGTAATATAGGGTGCAGTTGGCATACGGATGCATCCGTAGCTGTAGAGGTAAGGTGCACCTTCAAATTTTATTATGATATATAATTTTGATGTAAAATGTTTTTAAGATTATCTCAAAATCTATTTTTATATCTAATTATAAAATTTTAAATTTCAAAAATGTTTAAAATCCAGTAGACTATAAACATATGAAAAACTTGAAAATGGACGGTGTAGATAATATGTTGTAAAATGCTATATGCACTACTTGTGAGACTAAATTTTTTTTTATTTTTCATGATCATACATCTCGATGTCGAGATGATCAATCAAAGGGCTTTTCAACATTAAAACTACCTTCTCAGATGGATTTTTGAGGTGCATCCGTAGTTCTACATTATAAGGTTGCGTCCTTGTATAAACTATTTCCTTTAAGAAATTATTAGGGGTGCAATTTAGGGAAAAAAATTCATGAAAGCTGTGCAAATATTCTTTCTTAGAAATTTTACCATACTTCAATTGGCGCTTGGACCTTCTTCATTTAAAAATGTTTGCCTATTTCCTTATTTTTTCCAGAATTCAAAATCACATTTCATTCTAGAGTCCCCCACTCATGCTTTGAAGTAATTGCAAGTGTAAGACATCAGGTAGGTGCACACTTGAAGTCCAAATTACAAAATCGCATTACAATTGTGCAAATATTTGATACAAAATCAAAATGGACCAAACTTGTGCATCTACTCATCAATGCCCTTCACATTTTCACAGACCTCACAAGGGATTTCCTCTCTCAAAATCAAGTTCATATCATGTTACGAATAGGTATATTGAGCATTTAAATAAACTCAATTTCTTTTAATTGGTAAGTTCCAGATTCAAATTTGCGATTAGGGGCTGAAATCTGAAACTGAGCGTCAATTGCCCCCAAGGCAAAGAATTGAACATTGATATTGCAGATAAAAACTGCAGGGAAGTTTACACTAATATGTTTAATTAGCAGCATTTAAAAAATATCTCCTATGTTTTTCCTTTTTATGCTTATATCCTTGTTTGCCTATATTTTTTTTATTCTTCCTCAAAATACTCCTAATTCGGGACCATTGGTTCCGAAATGCTTCGATGTAAAGATTCAAAGCAATCCAAGTTCTGGACTGCTCAGTGTAAGCAATCATATCGGTTCAGATTTCAGAACATCTAGCTCTAAATCACCCTTTGTCAGGAATCAAAACAGTACGGAAATTAGAGCTCAAAACTGCTCCATATAAGGAATCGAGCCGGTCTGAAACTATTTCGAGGAAGGGTTTCATGACTTGACTGCTTGGCCTCCTTACAAAGATCAAATGATAGATTAAAGAGTTCGAACTACCCTCTGGATTTTCATTTAGTACACTAGAATTCCAATGAGCACAAGTTATGGACAGGAGGTATTTTGGGGAAAAATTTGAAAAAAATATGAAGGATTTTTTTTAAGAGTAATGATCTTATAGGACTCTTTTCCACTCATGTGTGTAGGACTTCAAATTATCACCATTAAATTTGACACGGATCTATAGAAAAATCAAATCTCACACCTATACGATAGCTTTTATAAATATCTGTACCAACTTTAATGGTGATCCTTTAAAATCCTACACACATGGGTGGAAAAAAGTCCTATAGGATCTCTTATGAAATTTTCCAAAGACTAAAAATTCCAAAAACTATCTAGACAGCCACATTTTTCCATATGTCCAACTTAAAACCTATGGAACTTCAAAATTTAAAATAATCTCAGTTCAAATTAGAAATACTACCAACCATCCTATAAAAGAGCGGTTCTCAAGCCTTATTATTGGTAGTAGAATTGTGAGTTAGAAATTCAACAATCCTCAAAATCGTGTAATGGAAAAGAAGACAGAAAAACCTAAGCCACATTAAAAAACATTTATAACTATAATCTTCACAACCAGGGAAATTTCAAGGCTCAATAATGGTCCACATTCAATTGTCTCAAATAGCTATGATTCTAGGCAATCATTTCTCTAATATATCCATCCAAAGAGAAGCAAATAAAATGTAAACCAACAAACTAGAATGAGGTTCACATGTGTTCCAAGAGGATATATGGTATAACATAATGATGGACTCAATCTGGTTTAACATAATATCCAAAATCACCCAAGTTTAAGATGAGCCACTGGGGGTCTCTTCCTGTTTAACTTTGGAAGGAGGCAATGGAGATGGAGAGCCATCTCCGCCAATTTCAGCTTTCAGGTCATTAATGCTCTGCTCTAGCTCATCTATCCGGTTTCCCATTTCGTCAAGTGCATTGCAGTTAAGAATCCAATAAATATCAAATGGAAAATGAAAATGTAAACTAACAAAAAAGAACACAGGGATATTATGCGGTACATTGTGGTACATCGCTCAGATATCCATCAAATTGTTCTTGATGAAAAATGGTGGAGATCAACAATTATCCATCATGTTGGACATTCACTTGGATACAGTTAATCTCCACCTTTTGTCTTGAGAACAGATGGATTGCCCAGCTCTGTACCATATATCAGTGCAAGGTATACTTTCCCTGTAACAAAAGCACACGCGGATGTGTGAATGAAAAGGATATTCTTTGAGACTATGGAGTCAGACATGGTCTGAAACCTGGATTGCTGCAAACAAAAACATAGAAAAAAGTTAACGATAAACACACAAAAAAGATACCAATTATCAAGCTATTAATAAAGGGATCTGATTATATGATAGTTAACACTTGAACTCACCATCTGCTGAAGGAGGTTTTGAACCTGGAGAACAGATGTGAAAAAAGGTCTTATTTGGGTAAAGAAAAATATGGTGGAAAGATCGTTGCTCTCAAAAAGAGAATAAAAAGGACAAAAAGAACCTATGACAAAAACCAGTTTGAATTTTGCTACATGGCGAACTAAGATGGGAGAAACTTACAAACGCTGTCATATCAGCAGTGCTTTTTGGATCTTCTGAGTCTTGTCCATCCTATTACCACAAAAAGGCTCACAGTTGATTGAAATATAATCCACAAGAAACAACAACTTTAATTGACAACAAATAGTCAAACATATTATAAGCCCATATATCACTACTGATGGAGTACAGCAAAGTACAACTGCTATCATCAAATTAAAGAAAGCCCCAATGATCACTTCTGGCTTCAGAAAGTAATCTTCAGCCATCATTGTAATTAAAAAATGCAGCATAGGCTCCACATTTGAACCTTTTGAGTCTTGATGAATCATCTTATATCAGATTGTTCAAATTGGTTTATTTCAATTTCATTTTTTCATCTATATCCATTTGAGATTCACAGAGAGCAGAAGAACCCGAAATCCTGTCACTTCAATATCGTGGATATCATTCTTGGAAACAATGACGCACCACTAGTTATTCACCATTTGGTCACGTTCAAATTTACAATTTCTTTATTCTAATACAGATAAATTTGCCTAATCTCTGGAGTTATTTTTGTATTTTTATTTGGAAAGCACTTCTGTTACAGATTTCAATGTATGAATAAATGTATTTATATATGCATAAATATATCCGGTCAAATGCATTAGTCTTCAGTTATTATGAGTTCACTGCAAGATCTATTTCAAACCAATTGAGATTTTCTAAGTAAAGTCTTGAGAAAGTCACTACTTCTTAAGAATAGTTTGCTTATGCATTTTAAAAATAAATGACACAACTAAAATACTCTATGATGCGAAATTATCCTTTAATAAAGAACTTCCCAATGTGGATGGCTTGAAATTGCCAAAAGTGATGCCTCTCACAAAATTATTTCATTCCCTTTCCTCTTATGGGTCAAAAATAAAATTACACTCTAAAACAAACATCAACAAACAGTTCAAACTGCAATGAACAGTAATAACAACAGACTCAATAAAACACTTGTCATTCTGGAATCTACAGGAAATGGGTCACTCATGCACATCCCCATAGTCTGTATCAGACAATTTAATTAGCTGAATCATTTGCGATTGGATTCCACCCCAAATATGCATTCAGGGAGCATTGTAGAGTGCAGACATAAAAGAAAATGAAGCTCTTCACCAAACTCAGCCTTTTAAGTCATGTTTCTTGTTTTTTAAGAACCGAATCTGTGTAAATTTGGCTCTAGCCAATCTTTATCTACTCATTCCCCAAGAGAGAGCCCAACACTAGAAACTTGAAAGACATAAAAAAATCTCCAGAAAGCACTTTGAATCTGAATTTCAGAAGGGAAATAGTCTCTTGAAACCAGATAGTCTATAAAATATAAAATGCAAATTCAAATCTCTTTTTCCCAAGTTGCTCTTTGATAAGTAAATATAAAATGCAAATTCGAATCTCTTTTTCCCAAGTTGTTCTTCGATAAGTAAATCTTTGATTCTTGTATTTATTGTTGGATCTCCCTGTCAACAACTAGACAGCTAGATGAACCTGTTCCGGCAGCATTTGCCTAATCATGTCCAGGACATTTAGAAACAAGTTTCCATATAAACAATTACACTTCATAAAAATGCACAATCATCCAAATTCCAAGTTACAGTTACTACAGAACCGAAAGGAAACCCACCAACTAAACCTCGAACAATTCACCTCAGTTTACCCACATATCACCTTCATAATGGTTTCTCTGTGTTCATGGTGAAAGGTACTCCTACATAGCCACATTCAATGAGTCCAACGTGATATAAAGGCACCATAGTGCTACCCTAATAATCCACCGGACCCAATTAAAAAAGAGGCACGCTCCCTAATATGCAAGGAGTACATTGAGAGAATGTCAAGAAAATGGCTTTGAATCATGTCCCAAAGGTGAGCAGAAAATAAATGGAAGCATATAGGGAACATATAGATATCAGAGAGGATAAACAAGACACATGGAAAACCATATAAAATGTGGAGCAACATATAAAACCAAGTGGAGACAAATCCACAAATTTGGTAATTGGGATCTTCCTAATTTCTTCAATACATTTCTTGGGAAATGGATTCCCCCCCTAGAATCAAGGTTGCCTACTACTTCTACGAGTGACAAGAAAAGGAAGGATAGAATTCGGAATGAATACGTTCAAAAGAACCTAAGGGTAGCTCCAATAAGCAATAAAATAAGGGAAAGTAGATTTAGATGGATTGGTCATGTGCAATGCCGCCCTGGAATAGCACTGGTTAGGAGTGTGATTTGGTTCAAGTGGAAGGCTCTAAAAGGGCAAGGGGACAGCCCCAAAGGACATGGATGAAAGCAGTGAGGAAAAATATAGTAACTTGTGGCATGACTGAGGATATGACCCTTGATAGAGCGCAATGGATGAACAAGATTTGTATAGCCCGACCCCAAATAATTGGGATGAGGCTCGGATGATGATGATGCAAGAAATTACAAAAACGTTTGCCCAAATTTGTTTGCCCCATTGAGCTGCTTGAAACCGACCGGTCGGCACAGCCAAAACCAATAAAACATTGATTTTGATTGGCTTTAATTTACGAAACTCAATTTCTACTTTGGACCAGACTGGCCAAGACACCAGTAGGTGGTTTAGTCCGGTCTTTGATAACCATGCATATTCTACATGATGCACTATCGATAATAACTATACACTTTTATAACAAGACTAAACCAAACTGTAGCCAACTAAAACATCTCAATGATTTTTTTTTGTTTCACAAAAACAACCTCTCTCCACCTTTTGGACTTTTGATGTCAGCTCTTATTCTTTGATCTAAGAAGGGTGAGGACCTTAAACATTCCCTTAACCAGTCCCAAGCCTGGGTAAAATAGGTGGGTTGTCTTAGGCCATCGTAAAATTTTGCCACATCTTATCATGCATCTTGAGAGTAGAGGAATGGAGGAGCAGATTCAGCCATACTTGTCCAATCCATATCCATATTATATAACAAGGTTCAATCCATACTTCAGCCACGGCCAACACATGGTTTTGGAATGGCTGTAAAGACAAACCTCACACATTCCTCCAGAACTGTGGATACAATGTTCTGAATGAGAGGCATCAGTTAATTGAGGAGTTTCTGCCTTTTAAGATTTCAGCCAAAGACCAGTGGGAATCTAGCATTGTATCAATAACAACAGAGGCATAGATTATTGTCCAAACGAGTCTTAATTGGGTATATCCACAATACCATTGGAAATCGTCTTGTATCTCAACACAAAATAATCATCATCGCCCCTCACAAATTATTATCAATTATTCCTCAATATACAGTTTATTGAATCTTCGTCACATGCATACATCCTCTTTCTTTCAAACATCAAGCACCTTGGTTATTGTTCATAAATATATAATTGTTTATATCTACATTCCAGAAGAGCTTGAGATCTAGAATGAAGAAATGCCACCACATCCATTGTCTGAAAGTTTATCCATCAGCAAACAAATGGCGTTTTCCATACCTTGAAATATCTAAATAACCTTATTTGTACAATTCCAGGAAGCCAAGACCCTGCCCTCATAACTACATCTTCACACATGGATCAATAAATAATAATAGCACTAATAAATAATAATTTAATGATGATTATTTGAATTAACTGACAATGTGATGGCTAATATATTTATCCGATAATTTACAATTATAGTTAAAATACTCGATTACTCACAATCTAAACCCTAGCAACAGAAATGCAGAAGATATGATCAAAGTAAAAAAAAAGTATGAAATCTAGAAGGCTGAATACACTGTTCACAATTAAATCATTCCCAAATAAGTAACAAATCACATGCCAATAAGAAGATCAAGGAATCACAATTTAGGCCACTCTTGGTTTTCAAATTGCTTGAAAATCTAAGAAACAGAGAGAAAAATCAAAGCATGAGGAGCCATAAACACCAACAATAACCTAAATGTGATCGGTTACGGAAAAGAAAGCCCTAAAAGCCATCCAACTTAATGAAATCATGGCATCTCAAAAATGTGAAGAGAAATAACGATTAGCATTGAAATATATAAGTTTAGAGTAAGAAAGTTAGAGAGAGAAATAGAGGACTCACCATTTGGAAGGAAGAGAGAGAAGAGTAATGCTGAGCACTGAGAAGTGTGAGACAGCAGAGCGAGAAAGGATTTGGAAGAAGAAAGCGCGAAGAATAGCAGCCCTCGAAAATTTTTCGGCGGACTTCAAAATCGTCGTTCAAATGGCATTTATAGACGGATGCGGTTTGTATAGAGCCGAGGCTCTCAACAATCAAATTAGAGCCCACCCTAAAATAGTATCGAGATACTTTGTTTCATTATTAAAAATCTTTGTGATAGCTTTAAAATATATATTTATTTTTATTTATAAAATTTAAAGCTTCAAAAATACTATATATTGAGCAGATATATGAATAATTTAAAATATTAAAAATTGATAGTCCTAAAATGTGTTACAAGATGCACTATTTCCAAACTTGAAATCCATTTTTTTTCTCATGTCCATGCATCTTGATATCAAGATGATCAATTTGAGTATATTTGAGAATCAAAACAACATCTTCTAATAAAATTTTTGAGGTAGGCTCCAATTTGATTGTTTAGAACCTAGGATCTATATAAACTTTTCTGACTAGCTCATTATTCTCTTCAATTTAATTAATTTTTTTTTAAAAAGCATTTTATTTTGGGAAAGTTTACATAAGGGCGAGGGCGCGAGGCCCTAAACAATCAAACTAAGGTGCTCTGAAAAATTCATTAGAAGGGATTGTTTCGATGTTGAAAAACCTTCAATTCGATCATTTTGATCTCTAGATGTATGGAAATGAGAAAAACTAGATTTCTAGTCTTGGTAACAATATATCGTGTAATATATTTTCTAGATCGTCAGTTTTTCAGATTTTTAAGTGTTAAGAGATCAATCTATACTTTAATCTTTAAATTTTATAATTAGATATAAAAATAAATTGTAGATCATCATAAAGATTTCTTATACTGAAACAATATAATCCTGTATTATTTGAAAGTGGACCTTACTTTGATTGTTTTGGACCTCGGCTTTATACAAATCACACCCTTTATTTTGAGGTTTGTACTTTATGGGAAAAAGTGTATATAAGGCTTCAACCGAAGAAATGTGCACCTTCACATTCAGTGCTGCAAAGTAGGAAAACTTTTCAAGGGATCATCTCAATCTCGAGATATATGGGTATAAAAAAAAAACACACACAAGTTCATGACTTAAAAATAGTGCCTATTGAAACAAGATCTCTAGATGTATAGATGTAAAGAAAAAACCAAAAAGAAGTCTAAAAACAACACATCTTGTAATAAGTTTTCTAGACTGTCTATTTTCAAGTGTCTAGAGATCTGTTCGATTTGTACTTTTTTGAAATTTAAAATTTTTTAGTTAGAATTAAATATAGATTTTCAAGCCATCATAGATTTCTAAAATTGAAACTAAATATTCCACTAAACTTGTACTTGTATAGCATAAAGGGGAGACCTTATACAAATGGAAAAACTTGATATAGAGCATAGGTTCTGAACAATCAAATTACAACCCACATAAAAAATTTCACTACAAGAGGTTGTTTGGATGCCTAAATATCCCCAAATTGATCATCTCGACATCAAGAGACACGCACATGAGAAAAAAATGGATTTCAAGTTTTGAAAATAGTGCATCTTGTAACGCTTTTTTTGGACCGTCAATTTTCAAGATTTTTATATATCTGCTCGATCTATACTATTTTTGACGTTTTAAATTTTATAATTAAAGATGATAATATATTTTAAAGCTATCACAAAAATTTCCAATATTGAATCCACATTTCTCAACACTATTTGAAGGTGTGCTTTACTTTGATCGTTTAGAGCCTCGGCTCTATACAAACGGCACCCTTATTTTTAGAGCTTTACAAATTTCATAGAGGTAGAAAAAGATTATCAAAAGATTTTCCATATACCTGATAGGTATTTTAGGGAGAGATCATGAAGTGCGACTTCACGTTTTTCTTTTTTTGGTTGGAGTGCATCCGAAAAAACGGGTGAGATTTAAAGGAAAAAATAAAAAACGCGAAATCGCAATTCATAATCTCTCCCTAAAATACGTATCAGGCATATGGGAAATCTTGTAATGTTTTGATTATCTTTTCCTACCTCTAAATATGAAATTTGTAAAGCTCTAAAAATAATGTAATAATTGCTATGAACACTTAAAAATTGATATTCTAGATAATATTTTCTAAGCCGTACTTTTTTTTAGGGCTAAAAATCTTGCTTTCCAGCTTTTGACATTGGAATTGCAATTTTTGGCATGATTTGAGTTGTCATTGTGTTATACAAATTTGATGGATCTACGAGCCCTTAAGATTCTTGGTTAGTTGTTGCATATTGATACTTTAAATAACATCTTATAAGATATATTATTTTTAGAGCTTGAAATAGTGAAGATGAAGAGTTTTTTCCAAGAGTAGCATTCCACAAACATAAATTATCTTGAATCTTCTAGGTCAAAAGATTCCAGGTTCTTAAACACAATCCTGGAGTACCCAGTGACTATTGACTAGCTTTAACATTTTTTCTCTTTCTTTTTTTCTTTTTTCTTTTTCCAAGATCACATTCTATATGTGCCTAAAATGATAACATCCCAAGATTGGAGGGTGAGATAAGTATTGGTGAACTTTTCTTTTCATCATTTGATAATGCACAGGTAGACCTTAGAAATTTCAAATAAAAAGGTCCTCCCAAGTAGCGCTTTTGCACGAGGGAGTAACTGTATAGTATGCTCCCGCAAGAAAGTAGTTTAAGTGCTCATCTTCTGGATCATCATCCACCATTACGACCTTAGGTTTCTTTTTATTTCTTTTTCCTTAAATGTTGGCAATAGTAAAGCCTTGATTTTTTTCCTAGATCCAAACATAGAGACAAAATTGAAATATCCCTTATATGTAAATAGCAATCCACATACTTATTGTCTTTCAATTATTTCCAGAATCCAATAAAGGAGAAAGTATACAGCCAGCAAGATGATTTAACTTGATGCAAAAGGTCACATTGTAGGGCGCTTAGGAACCTCTCGCTCGCCTGCCCTCAAGAACGTCATGCACGTTAATGTTATTAAAAAAAAGGAGTACAAGAAATAAAGCAAACATAAAAATCACACACTAATGATACACAATTTTTATAGGCCACCCACCTCTAAAGGCTATGTCTAAGTAGAAGTGAAAATTCACAAACTCAATAAAGATTATAGTTTTGGGTTATATTGGCAAAAACCTCATCGATCTTTGGTTGATTTGGAGCAATTTGAATGAAATAATTTTCGATATTGTATTACCCAAAACGCGGGGTATTTGTAGAGAGTACAAGAGGTTCAAATCTCTTGATTGCAGGGATTTATGTAACAAATATAGAAGATATACAATGGCTATCCTGCTAAATTAGAATGTGTATAGTAATACAAAATTTGAAATTCAAATCAAGATTTGTATTTCAATTCGAAACTATTAGTAACTCCCAATACCCACCCTCAAGTTGGAGCATAAACATCGAGTATGTCCAACTTGGTTGCAAGAAACTGAAATTGCTCTTTTCCAAGAGCTGTTATGAATATATCAGATCTTTGAGAACCAGTTGGGATATGAGTAGTATGAATGAGGCCATGTTGAATTTTTTTGCGAACTAGATGACAATCAAGTTCAATATGTTTTGCTCGCTCATGGAAGACTAGATTGGCAGTAATATGTATGGCTGATTTGTGTCACAACAAAGTAGCATAGGGCCATTATGAGGAATGCCAAGATCCAACAAGAGGTATCTTAGCCAAAAAAGCTCATAAGATGCAACTGCCATGGAACGATACTCCACTTCTACAGATGATTGTGAAATTGTATATTGTTTCTCAGTTTTCCAGGATATGAGGCTGTCTCCTAACATAGTGCAGTAACCAGTAGTCGAGCATCATGTCATTAGGCAACTAGCCCAATCAAAGTCACAATAGGCAAAAAATTGTAGATTACTATTAGCAGAGAGCAAAATTCCTTGGCCAGGTGTCCTTTTTAAGTAACGAAGAATTAGAATAGCAGCATCTAAGTGTGGTTTTCAAGGTTGATTCATGAATTGGCTGAGGACGTGGACATGGTAGATAATATCTGGCCTTATAATTATGAGATATATAACTCTACCAATCAATAGTCGATAACGCATAGGGTCTAAAAGAGGTCCAGCTTTGGCATTCAATTTTAAATTTTGTTCCATAGGGAAAGCAACAGATTTTGTAGCCAAAAAGCTCATATCTTGAAGAATCTCAAGGGTGTATTTTCAATGTGTGAGAAGAATTCATTTCTTAGAACGGAGAACCTCAATGCCAAAAAAATATGTCAAAATGTCTAAATCCTTTATCTGAAATCGATCACTGAGAAATGTCTTGATAATATTAATGTTGTTAATATCATTGCTGGTGATTACAATATCATCTACATAGACCAGGACATATGTGCAAGTATTGCCATTAATATTGGTGAATAAAGAATAGTCAGCTTTTGATTGAATATATCTTGTTGCTAGTAAAGCGTTTGAAAATTTGACAAACCATTGCCTAGAAGCCTGTTCAAGTTCATAAAGGGATTTATTCAAATGGCAAACTCGATGCTCTCCCTTACGTGAAAAACCCGGCGGTATCTTCATGAATACCTCTTCATATAAATCACCACGTACAAAAAACATTTTGAACATCCAATTGGTGCAAAGACCAATTTTTAATAGCAATAATAGCAAGAAGACAACGAAAAGTTGTAAGCTTTGCTACAGGAGCGATAATCAAGCCCCTCTTTCTGGTTATATCCCTTGGCGACCAATCGAGCCTTGTAATACTCGATAGACCCATCAACTTTGTATTTTATCTTGTAGAGTCATTTGCAACCAATGGATCTTTTGTCGTGAGGCAGTTCAACCTACGACTATGTGTTATTGGTTTCTAATGCAGTTATCTCTTTGCTCATGACTTCTCTCCAATTTAGATCATTGGATGCTTGTTTGAAAGTTGTGGGTTCTGTTGTGGTAAAAATAGTAGCAGATGCTGAAAGTTTGTCATAGGAGATGACAAAACCTAAAGGATGAAGAACATGTTGAACCGGTTGAGGAGAAGTTGTAGCAGATTGATAATGTACAACGATGAAATAATGATAATCTTGTAAATAAGTTTGAGGTTGGCGAGATCTGTAGAAACGTCGGGGGGCATTTAGAGGTACATGTGGTGATGTAGATGGTGAGGGAGGCATGATGGCTGCTCAACAATGTGGAATGAATCAACCGGGTATGGTAATGTTATGTTGGTAGGAAAGTCAGGTAATGGCTGTGGAATAACAATGTTTGATGGGTATGGGGATGATGAAGACTCCAAAAATGGGAAGCAACATTCATGAAAAATGACATCTATGTTGGTAAAAAATTTGTGGTTGTCAAGGTCATATAAACAATGTGCTTTTAGACCATGAGGTTAACCAATAAGTATACATTGGCGTGACCCGGTAACAATGTGCTTTTTGACCATGAGGTTAACCAATAAATATACATTGGCATGATATGGTATAAAATTTGTGTTGTGATGTATGTTATAAGCATAACAAAGGTAGCCAAACACTCTTAATTGTTCAGAAAAAAATTATCTGAGTGCTTTTTAATAAGAAAACGTAAGCGAGCATGAGAGGTATGACCTAGGTGCCAATGCCACAAATCCATGGGGATTGAATTGTAAATTGGGATGCAAAGACAGCTTTGGGTAAATGAAAGATATAAAGCCCATTGTGCTCTCTACCCACTCCAATCGCTGCCCTCGATAACTGGTCCTGAAAATTACAATGGTAGGAGGACAAAGTCATTGAGCATTGTAGATCAAAGGTAAGCTTTTGAACATAAAGTAAATTGTATGAGAAGGACAGTACATATAAAACATTATGCAAAGTTATTTGTTCGGAAAGAATAACAGTGCCAAGATGAAGAACAAATGTAAAATTACCACTTAGCAGTTTCACAGGATTAATAGGTGATGAAGGCTCTATAGATGAAAGAAATGATGGAGAACATACAATATGGTCACAAGTATCATTGAATGAAGAAAAAGTAGAGTAACAAATGTTATATGCGAGATTGGCCAAGTGACTTGAACTACCTGCCTGTAGCATTTATAAAAGTTGACGTGTTGGTCAGATGTAAATTGAGGATTTGGCCTTTCTGATGAAGAATCCATAGTGATGTTGTCACTCATGGCTCATAAAACTTTGAGGAAAGAGAAAATACAACAGTGTGGAGTCTTTCTAAATTGTCGAGTGTGTGATATGCCACAAAAAAAATAAGTATGTAGAAAGAGAATGTTACAACAGCCACACTAGATAAAGTTTAACCCAAGAGAGAGTTACAGATTTAGAGAAACAAACAGAGAGAGAGATGCATGCTTTCTATTGAATGGAAAGGTAAAACTTTATTTAAAAAAAAGAAGATTTTGCAATAACAAAGCTCATTTGATGGAGCACGCACCAAAAATTGCACGAGTAAAATGCAAAATGTAGAGAGAGATAGTTGTAAGCTTTCTGTTGAATGGGAAAGGGAAGCTTAAAATAAAATTTTGCATTAGCAAAATTCAAAAAATGGAGCATGCAACAAAAAATTGCACAATCAAAATGTAAAATCTGGGCAAGCAAATTTGCATGAGAAAAATAAAATAATTGCACGACCAAATCTTTGGAGAAGGTTAATGGATGCAAGCAAAAAGTTTTGATACCATGTCAAGATTTGGAGCAATTTAAATGGAATGATTTTTCGATATTACATTACCAAAATGAGAGGTATTTGTAGAAGGTACGAGAGGTTCCAATCCCTTGATTGCAGGGATTTATGTAACAAATATAGAATTTGTACCATGACTATCCTACTAAATTAGAATGTATATATTAATACAAAATTTAAAATTTGAATCAAGATTTGAATTTCAATTCGAAAATATTAATAACTTCCAACGTTTGAAATTCAAATCATTCAATATTTGAATTTGAATTCGAAACTATTAGTAACTCCCAATAGGCCTTGATTGAGCAACGCTGTCTATTAACTTCATCTTTTTCACTATTACACTATCACCGGAAATAAAACCTTCAGAGTAACTAAGAGCATTTCTCTCTCTTGAAGTGGAAGTTTAATCAACCCAAAATGCATGAAACTACGATCTCTTTCTAGGAGGCTATATATATATCTCTCTCTTTCATACCCATTTACTTAGAGATCCATTCCTATGACCCTAGTTGGCATTATGGCTTCCTTGATGAGATCAATAGGCTTTTTTGTTTCTCAAAAAAACTTTTTTTTTTTTATATTATAATACTTCTAATATTTGAAAAAAAATATAGGTGTCATGATTTTGACTATCAACAAACCCTTACTTTTTAGATTAAAAAATTGGTGATTTGGGTGTGCCACCAAGCTCAAACTCCATTTTTTTTCTAAACATTGTTTTACACACCCTAGCCATAGAATTCTCATATATCAGCAAAAACTAGAGGTATTCATGACCTTGTACTAAAAATACACCGTCTTGGAATATATATAAAATCCCTTAAAGAGAAAACAATAGGGGATGTGTTAATCTACAAAGTGATGATAATCTATGAAGGAATGTATTTATGAGCACATATAACGCCCTATCGCTGGAGCACACTGTATATTTTAGATATGAAATTTAGCGATCTACTTATTGCCTGAAAAGTATTTGATCAATTAGATTTGACTGTCCAAAAATTAAACAATCTTGCATGAGAAATTTCCTATTTTGAAAGTGGTCGCTTGGTTGAGGAGATTATATCCTCAAAATTTAGATTCCTAGAAATATTATTGGATAGAGTTTTACTCGAGGGAGAAAATTAACAATGTTCTGCCATTGAAGTATATAATCTTTTGGCTTCTATTGTCTATGATTGGTTAAGATTTGGTTGTCGATATTGTTATATAAACTATTTTTCCACTTTCAAAAAAAAAATATAAACTATTTTTCCAATGGTAAAAGGAAGAAAAAATAGAGGAACAAATGATTATGTTGAAGTGTATGACATCATTGAGAATGGCCTTTTTTGTGATAGATTGATACCGATGCTTATGCTTTCTATAGATTGAAAATTTGCTCTTCGAGTGCAGTTCTTTTTTATCAATGTCCATGCTGTTTTACTGTTTTTCATTAGGAAATGACCTTGGGATAAAGTTGGAGCCAATACATAAATCAAGTCACTAGAGTTTAAGCTCATGGCCATTGAGTGTTTTATTTTTAAGATTAGGAGGCCCTAATCACCCCTAGATGTTAAATCTGAAATTTGATGGCTTGAAGGGTATCACAAAATTCTTTTTTTTTTTTTGGGGACTTGAACTAGATAAATTACACAAATTTAGTAGCTTGATATCACATCCAATGGACGGATAAAATTGGAATGATACTCGTAGCCAATGTCCACAGTCTATGTTTGTCTATGGGCACTGAGAGGTGAGTTGTTCCCCGGTTTTATAGCTTCCTCGAGTTTTAGCGAGAACAGTAACTCAACTCTATAGTGAGTTTTTGCTTTTTGAATAGCATCTGGATACTACATGGAAGATACATTTCCACCTAAAAATGGAGTTTAATACAAGATATATTTGGAAAAGGAAATATGGTAGAGATACAAAGAGAAGGAAATAATTAAAGCAAGATGGAAATAGAAAGAGATTTCTATAAACAGAGAGACATGAGAAACAAAGGTAAGGGGATCTTTAAGAATGAGAAGAAAGAGCAAGAGATGGGTAGGGGGAGAGGGAGAGAGTTGGGTTATATATATATATATAGGGGGAGAGGGAGGGAGTGGGGTTATAT